AACACTTGAAAAGGCTTTTGATGTTTTGGCTTGCCTGTTGCTGGGAGAGTTTCTCATCCACTCTGACTAGGAAATTCTCAAGTGTGAGAATATCTTAAGGGGCTTGTCTTGTCTGTTATTGGTAGCATAACTGTCTTGTTTCAAATCACAAAACAAATGCATGTACATGGCCACCCCAAAGACAAATTTGCAACACAGCTGAAATAATCACACACACTGTAATGCAACAACTCCTGTAAACTTCAAAGCAACCACTGTAACACATATTTCTCTCCGTCTCTTTCATGACTCACAACTTGGCTGTCAAAGAGCAAAGCAAAAGTTCAAAAGCTCTGACAGGGTCAGCGCCTTCTGTAGAAGTCCCTTTGATTTCTAATATAGTCATGGAAAGGCTTCCTGGCCTGGATATAGAGAGAAAAAGGGAGTGTAAAAAGAGGGGGATCAAATGGGATAGAGGTTTGTTTTGTTCTCTCCGCTCTATCTGTTGAAGGTCCCTGGCTGATGTAGCCGGCTGTTTAATCTCAGCTGGATCAACGGCTCGGCCCGCGGAAGTGTGGTCAGGAAAAGACCCCCAATACAGAGAGTCATCAAACACAGCCAGGTTGTCAGAAGGTGACTCAAAGGTAAAAAAGGGCAATGAATGGAAGGTGGTTTGAGAGAATACTGGAGGTACTGAGCTAAATGAGGAAGTATGTGATGTGTGTAAAGAATTCTAGACTATACATTTGACCTGTAAAAGTCTATCAGCATGGCTTATATGTATAACAACCTGTTAAACCTAGCTTTATGATTGAACTTACTGTATAACTGCTCTTGAATTATCAGTCAGCAGATTCACTATGATGCCCTATACCTGCATTGTTCAGGGTATGCAAAATGTGACGAGCCCGCTGGCAGTAAATGGAGCAATGGTGAAACACACTGATCTCCAGGGTAAAGGTTACACTCTTGTGACTAATGATGACTTTCTAGCCAATCCTTAGCTCCTATCACAATGGGTTGTAAAGGAACTTCATGAGAAAACATCATAATAGTTGGAAAATATGTTGACATTGGAGGTGGTCACAGTGTATGACTGGTTCCACCAGTTTGTGCCTTCAATAGAAAATTATTTCACAACCAGCCATTGATTGCATTGTGCTTGCTTTCTGAATAGATATCAGCATCAGCTTAGGTGAAGTCCTTCCTATCTAATACTAGCTATAACTAGTGATTTACAATTGAGTTGCACCATTAAAGGATAAGGAATGTCAGCTAGTTAAGACTTCAGTAATGTGTAAATTAGTAAGGAGGAAACATTGTTTGCACTAGCAAAGCACAAGCAATCAATAGTGTGAACAGGAAGTTCACGTTATCCAGCACAAGCTGTTGCATAACTGTCAAGAAGTAGGTGTAGGAAGGTGTAGTAAGTTGTAGGGGGCAACCATTACATCAAGCTTTATTCTTCATCCTTAATAGGCATGACTTTGTTTTACTACTATATGCATACATGGAGAAATACGTTTTCGGTTTACTCTCATTCACTGAAACTAATGTTTGTTTTGCCTGTTAGTTCAGTTAGCTACGTGACAGCTGGCAGTTACTGGGTGTAAATAATTTGTGACAACTAAAACTAAGCTATGTGTGGTGCATCCTATTTTAATTTAGTGATTCATGATCTCCAAGCACCAACATTCAAACTAGGCTGAATTGGAACTGACAAGCAGATAATGAAATTGAGTCTAGCTTTCTGGGAGATTATTTTCTGAGCACTATATTATGTAAGTTGTTGTAATTGGTGTTTATGTTCATTTACAACTTGAAGGGGATGATCGTTCACGTAGCATCATCCCAAATACTGTGGGTAGCCAAATTTAGTGTCTCCCAAATTCAGATTCAGATGTAATTATTAGATTCTCAAACACCAGATAGAACACCAGATAGATCTTATGCACTGACTTGTAGTCTTTGTAGCTTAAATCGCTTAAATAATAAAGCACTCCGTGTTCCATGTTCATTAAAAATAACCCTGTGAACGATGAATGGAATGCAGCTTGACCAGCCTGGGGGGTAAGTTCTCAGGCTGTCCGCTGTCTGTATTTGGGTTTCTCAAATGTTTTCCGTGAAATGTTTACAGAAGCTTCCTCAGCGTGTTTCCCTAAATCTCAGCTGAGTAATTTAAGGGAGCAGAGACAGCCATTGTTAAAGTCTAATATTTGCACTGACGGATATAGTGTCCAGTCTCCTTTCTTGTGGGTGAATACAGTGGTATTCACGAGGCTCTTTAGACGTGATTCATGGTTCCGCAGCCTGGCAGAAGGCCAACTTCTTTCAAGACTTTATCTCCCCAAAACCATAGCATACATGGTAGACATAGGGTGTATGACTTCCACTTATGTAATAATCTGATCAAAATGAAGTATTTCCTTGGTCTAAGTTGAATGCTATCATCGCATCAGCAGTGCAGAAAATCTCATGTGAAGCACAACATTAGGACTGTGGCTAACCTTGACATTCATTAAGTATTTTTCCTAGACGAAACGAGATATTCATGCTACGGGACAGGCCTTATTAAGTTTTCCACGGCTTCATAAATCTCCCAACGTGGAGCTCCTCGTGTCTGGGAATGTAATAAGGCTGAGATAGTGGATCTAATGTGCTACATCCATCACAAGTATTAGCATGACTGTATAGCATACAGAGCCATCACAAACATTCATACTTAAGTTGATCATGTAATGCACTGGACTTACATTCACTTTCATTTAACAGTAATGTTTATAGAGTTCTCTAGTCTATTTGAAGTTCTTGGAAAACTAACAGAACTGTGAAAAAACCCAATGGCCCACGGAGAGAAAAACCTAATTAAACCAGAATAAAGTTACTTGACTGTTGTGTAAAATATATTTACTTGGTATCTGTGACTTCCTGTCTGAGGGGTCCACTGTGCCTCTGGCTCTTTTGATCCCCCCTCTAAAACCTACTCCAGTAACCCATATCCTGTATCCTCATTTGGTAGCATGGTGACAGTTTCCCAGATACCAGACAGTATTGGTTTCCCTTCATCTTGTGGCACAGGCCCAACTCCAGTGTCTAATTTGCTAATGGATCCCTGCTGGAAGCTGCTGTCTCGTCTGTACGTGAGTGTAATTATTTGTGCTCAAATGATGTAATTGGGGACTAACAAAGGGAATGAATAAATCATTATTTTGCACTCTGCTCCCAAACACTGGATAAATGCAGTTGATTTTTCTTCTGTTTGCTTTTCACAAAGCCTGGATGTCATTCACCCTCAGCACAGGGTGACTATAATTGCTGACAGCAGAATTCAACAAACTTGGAGTAACTTTACTTCTGCAATAACAAAAGTAACAATTATATGGTAAAATGTACTTTGTATTTGCTTGGAATGAGGGAACAACAAAGTTAAGCTTGTAGCTTGAGCAAAAGGAAAAAAAAAAAAGTTCCTTTTTTCAAATGCGACTGGATGGTTCGGTGAAAGACAGCACTTTGTCTCCACCACAAAGGCTGTATCAACTGGTTCTCCCTTTCATGTAGGAAATGCACACTTATAAGAAAAGGCAACTTCTGTTCATGTGTGGTGTACCATGTAGCTCTCAGGAAATTTGACTCAGGCCTATTACAACGTAAAACTTGCGGAACCTGTTCTGTATGTCCAATTATTTCAAGGCCACTAGCTCTAGTCTCAACATTTTACCCTAAGGGATATTAGCTATCAGTCAGTCAAGACACGGTTACATTTGTTAAGACATGAAATTTAGAGAAGCTGAGAGAACTTTTTGTGTTTTAATTGAATTGCTGACAAGCAGGTCATGGAGCCATTCATGAGGCTCTTTGGTTTAGTGCCCTTAGTCTGGTTCAGCTTGACAGGGAGCTTAAGCTTGCCAAAGCCTCTGGGAGCTAGAGATAAGTAAAGGCAGCATAAAACCAAATAAAGCTGCTTTGCACTTGGAGTGAGACAAAGTTACAAGTACACTTAATGTGTCTGGATAAAGCGATTATATCTGTATGGGACTAATGCAACACTAAAAGTGTCCTTTGTGTCCAATCTGTTTTTTTTTCCCGATATATTTCATACAATGCAAAAAACAAAAAAAACAGCCACACACTCAGAATACATCCTCAAAATCCTTCATCCATGATTTCACAAATGCTACTTCCAAATAAGACGAGAACCAACCATGAGACAGCTCGATGGTTGACGTGAATGACTGAAGACAAATCCCAACAAGGCAGCATTTTCCAAAGCCAAACCCTAATGTCAGATCCCAGTATGAGACCCAGTGAAGTATTGTGCACCATGGCCACTCATTCATTTGCAAGCCAAAGAGACCAAGGTTCTCATCTTTCCAGTAACGACTTTCCCGCTATTCTGTCTGGAATTTCAATTATCACATGAAAGATAAGAAGCTAGGGTGATGAATATAAATGAAAATAACATTACAGACCATTAAATATTCTACATGACTGGCATTTCAGCTCCAAGTCTGTCTTAGTTTTGAGTGGTGTTATTTTAAAAATGATTCAGTTCAAGAATTGCACGGATGATAGATGCTCATGAGTGTTTGGTAACATGATTCCACAGTTGCGATGCCATCCTAGCTATTTTCCCAAATGGCCTTCATCTACTAATAGCTTGGTCATTTTAAATGGCACATATACTAAGCAGCCATCTGTCAAATTTAGAGCCATCTTCCTGGTTTTGTGTTTTATCAAAGGAACGTGACATGGGGTGACAAAGTTAATTAACGAGGGCAATTTTCCATGCCACATTATACAGGGCACCACAAAGTCTGACTTCATTATTCAGAGATTATTCCTGACTTAAATTTACCACAGAGGGAAAGCACCATAATGTTCACTTTCCATCTCATTAAGATTCCATAACAAGGTCACTGGACTGCTTTTTTTTTGTTTCTAAAAATTGACACCAACCCAACAGTCCAGACCATGTGTTAGTGTTTCTTTGCATTTAAAACTTAACACAATGTGAGCCAGAAGAAAATTAAAATATATTATTTCATTTCCACAACAAAATCAATTAGCATTCAGTAAAACTGTTTTCAAAAGCAGGCAGCATAAAATACAAATGTCAAACAAATCAACAAAAGGAGTTTAAAACTAAAAACAACACATTTATGTACAGCAATGTAAAGCTCTCGTTGACAACAGAATTAAAATGTGCCTGCAAAGCAAACATGTGTTTCACTTATGTCCATCATCAACATATCTCCCATCTGGTGTTAACAGGGTTTGCCTCAGGCCTAAATTATCTATAAGACAATCAAATTGCTTTGGTTTTTCAGTCAAGCATCTGTGCTTTCAATGTGCAACTAATCTCTTGTGTATAAGACTTTGTGTTCTAAATTCTACAGTTGCTGAGTCGGGTTTAGCTTAGGAACTTACATCAGTCAAAACATTTAAAGTAAAAATAATGAACAGCTTAACATGTACAGTAGGTGGTGCTCGGAACTTGGCAATGAAGCAAATTGCACTTGCTGTAACTAACCACTTTGCCACTTTAAGCAGTTTAGGCTCTTGAATCACTCAGCATGAAATGTCCAATTTTCCAAATGGCTGCTAAATCCTAATCTACTCCTCTACTTAGATCAGCCGATTGTGGTTGACCTAACACAAAGTCCAAGTTGAATGTTCCACATATAAAGAAGGAAACTGCTTTAATTCACCCTTTCTTCAGTTATTTCAGACTAAGAAGATTTCTGTGAAAAAAATAAACTGCTGAGGTATTGGATAACTTCTGGTCTTTCTGTGTAATAGAGCACCTTTTTAAAAGCATTAATCTTCATGATAAAAAAATTAAGACATAAAGACTTGTTACAATGTTTTCACTTGCATTTGCAGTGACATTAAGTGGCAATGGTTTGATGAGGTGAGTAATTCCACAACATAAGGAACCTGGTTTGAATGGAAAAAGTAACATGACTTATTTGGTAAGCTATAAAGAGAAAAATGTGAAGCATGAAGGAAAATTAACCTGACAGTTGTATTCATGTGTCAAAGTAAAGAACACATTTCAAAAATCTTTCTTCACAATATAGCTCAGTAGTCTGTAACCACTGTGTCTAGCTTATCATCATTATCCAAAGCAGTAGTATTCATCTGATTCCACCCTGAGTTTCAGTGGTGACTTGCTGAAAGAATCACCATCAATAACAGTTTTATCCCCAAAACCATCAAGGTCTGTAGGTGACGGGTCATCTGGGAGGTCTTCTGCTAGTGTGTCCAGGTAACTACCTACAGACAAACCATCTAGGTTATCACTGTTGCCATCATTCAAGCTGCTGAAGCTGCCTCGTAGTGAGGTACCATCCTGGCTGTCTGATAGGCTGTACAAGCTGCCTGTCAAGCTGCCATCTTGGCTGGCAGCGCCTCCTTTATCTTCTATCATCCAACGGATGGACTCGATGCCCTCGTTGATTGACATAAGCTGCTGCATCAGCTTCAAATCAATGGCTCGCAGATGTGCCTGTGAGTTGAACAAAAACATCTCAGTTAGGTCATGGTACTTGAGGATGATCAAAAGTTAAAAGGAGTAGTTTGACTTTTTTTTGGAAATGCACTAATTCACTTTCTTCCCAAGAATTAGATGAGAATATTGATACCATTCTGATGTCTGTCCAATAAATATAAGGCTACACTAGGCAGCTGGTTATCTTAGCTTAGCATAAATATAGTAAAGAGCAAGCCCCATTCTGTCCAAAGGTAACGAAAGGCACCAAATAGCACAGCTGAAGCTCACTATTTAACACATTTAAAGACAGAAATTTGAGGTTTCGCAAATGCTCATATGGTGCACACTAATATACCCTTCTGCTAGCTTTAACATTGTATATAAAATAGAAATGAAAATGGTATCAATCTTCTCACCAAACTCTTAGTGTGTTTCCCTAAATGTCAAACTGTTCCTTTAACACAGCTATTACATGAAAAAGCATGTCCTCAGAAGTAGAATGGAAGTGAACAAAATACAAAACAAGATATATTTTCATTGTTAACTATTGTCAGCATTGAGGTTCAAAGTGCAATTTTAGACCCTAGAAACAGCAGCTGAAATGACTGCTCACACCATATGGTCTATTTAGTAGCTGTTTTCAGCAAAAGAAACATCAGCGTTCAAGCCATGATGGACAGGAAGTCGTTAAAATGCTCCTGATAAAAAAGGGGGAAATTTAATCATACAATTCCACGACAACTAAGCAAACTCCATCAACTAATGAAAACCCTGTGATATAACTGATAGCTGCAGAGGAGCTACGACCTTGTGGTGAGGTTTTTTTTTTTCCCTACAACTGTAAGCTTCCTTATGTTCTCTCATGGCTAGAACACTGTGTGCTATTTTGTTTTGACTATCAGGCTTTGTTATGAACAAAGACATTTAACTGTGCAACCGGAAAAAGGACTTGTAATACCCATGTAACTGCACAGCCAGGAAACACTTCTCATCCAGGATAATGAATGACATGCCTACTTTACACAGTATGACCATATATTAACTCCCTGCCATGACAAACCATGCCATTGACTCTGGATGGAAGTGGACAGCCTATAGAGTCATTCAAAGGGATTCCCCTGTGTCACTGGGTGACAAACACCACCCAGTCAGAACAGCTGTAACATCCTGCCACACTGAAAATGCATTGAGGCAGATGAAGGCAGACAGGGCTGGTACAGTGTTCCAGAGAGCTGGCTTGATACAACAGCCTTTCTTTGGAGTGGATTTACAACCAGCCTCCATTTAGCTCATAATGCTGCCAGTGTGTTTGTTTTGCGAGTATTACCACCCGCTTTATACACACATGGAAGTCGAACAGATGGAGTTGTATTGAAATTTTAGTCCTAACAGCTACCTCATGTTAATAAGATGGCACCAGTGGGTCGGCATCACAAAATAAGTTTAGGAAATACAATTAGTGCTGCATAATTTTGTCTGCAGTGGATAGTAACAGCATGTTTAATTTGTCATATGAAACTAATAAGAGCTGGCCCCGAACTTTTTTTTGGGGAAAAGCACATTTCAGAGTTCATTTGCTTCTTTGATTGGCTGTAGATTATTGCAGTCTCTCAAATAATGTAAAAACTTGTGTGCGTGTGTGTGTGTGTGTGTGTGTGTATGTGTCTGCCAGGCTTGTGCACACCAAAACTGATTGGATTAGTGATTAAGCTGTGAAGGGAGCCACAAAAACAGAAAGGCCCAAGATGGCCCAAATTCGAAATGAGCCATCTAACAATAACAGACCACTGATGGAATTACACTCAGTTAATTTTAAAAAGTCAATTAGTTTTTCTTCATATCAGCACAATTAAATGAATGTATGACTAATGGTAAATTTGACAAGTCAGGTGAAAACATGAGTTGATTAAACCAAGGTACAGGTTATTACATTTGCAAAGACAAAGAGAGCTAGTTGTAGGTCTCAGTTGGTCTGTCACATAAACATAAAACTAAGCCTATCAACACAAAGTCTCTGGATGATTGGCCAGTCTGCTGGTCATGATACAGCCCTACTACAGTCTGCAGAACTCGGTCAACTGGGCCATCTGCTCAGGAGTCCTAATACCTTCTGTGACCTTACTTAAAATGGAGCTGTGCTGTGACTATGGAACAAGCATGGCATTTGAAAACGATTTAATGGTGAGTGTTAGCAGATACAACCATGTAATCATGAATAGGTAATTACACAGGCACAACTGGATTTCACAGAGTAGTTTGAATCACAAGGAGGTGTAAATATTCCCTGAGGTGAGGGTTCATTAACAAAGGTCTGACTGACTGTGGTGTGCAGGTGTGAATGGCTCTCACCTACTGACCAGTTTCATGGTGCTTTCAAATACAACTGGGGCAGAACAGCCATCAGGAACTTTGCATTTTACAACCACATGTTGATATATAGACCTGTTGTTCATCCTGCATTGGCTTTTCCTACCCAGACTGGGTTGTTGATAAATACAGTACAGTGGAGAAAGCAAACATCAAATTTACGATGCTAAATAGCCATGGTGATAGTTAAGTTGTGTTCAACATATTCTTCTATTCTTTTAACGTTTGAAGATAAGAACAAAGCTTGGGCAAATGCAGAGTAAAGAATTGCGACCTAGCTTGTAATTATAAGTCGGGAAACTTGCTGTGTCGCATATACAATATGTTTTGTTGTATTTATGGCTATTCAAAAACTGTAAAAGCCAAAATTTCAAAACAACCCGTTCATTTAAATAGGATACATATAAAGAAACTTACCATTTCTTGCTTGAGGAATTGCATTTTGCTCTCCAGTCTTTTCAAGTCCGCAGAATTAGAACAAAGTTTGCAGTTCACTAAATGCGGTGCTGCCGATTTATCGTGCTTGTCGTGATGTTTTCCTCCAACAAGAGAACGAATGAGACTATCCGGGACTTTACGACCCAATTTTGTCTCTATGTCCTTCAAATCAGGTAAAACGCTGTTATCCTCGTCCATTGTGGACTGTCAGAAAGATAACACAGTTTCACTGTTTGGGTTGGACCCGGCAGAAGAGCAAAACTACAGAGCTGCGACCTCGGAGATCTTCCCACTGATTAGTTGGGGAACGCACGCGAGCAACGGCCAAAGAGGAGCTGATTCAAAGTAACAAGAAGTCGCACCAAGCGCGTGCTACCTACAACTTTATCCACGCAGTTCTCAGAGTGAAGTCCTGAGCCAAACACACTTCACCGCTGTAATACCAACAGACCTCACAAACGGACCCCATTGAGGCGCCTGACCAGTAGTGAGGCAGCTTAATGACAACGTGCTCTCCGTAGACCCTCCCACAAGGGAGCTTGGTCTGAAACCAGACACCAGACAGGTGAGGTGTGGTGAAAAATATGGTAGGCAAGGGAATATATTTTTCAGGCGTTACAAATTAGGAGCATTGGGAGTCCAGTCATAGGCAAAATGGCTAGAGCTAAAACTCTCCACAACCTGGCACTGCAGGCTGTTCTGAAGGAAATTTACAAATGCAAGATGCAAGGTGAACAAATAAATGCGCAGGAAACACGTCTGCTCCGTAAATGGTAATAGATTCTATAAAGTATGTATTAAGGTGTTGTGTACATAAATATATTATTATATTATTACATTTTTAGTGTATGTTTTAGTGTATTTTTTAAATTATATTAATGTCAGTACAAAGTCCAACAAAACCACTGTGTATAGGAGTCAAATTTAATCACTTAAATAATTTGGCATGCACCCAGATCCAACAATATTTTGGCAAAAGTAGAAATGTAAAAACAGAATAGCATTAATGACCGTTTCACATAAATTCAGTTAAAAAAAAACAAAAAACGCTGCATACACAGTTCAGTAAGGACTCAGGATTACAACCTGTTGACCCTCTGCAATTTGCTACATTTCTTCCCGATTTTTGTCATGTTCTTTTTATATCTTCATTCATTACTACCAACTTTTCAGGTCATGTGGATCAATGTAATGTAATACATCGTATTAAAAAGGCATATCTCTCCTAATAATTGCTGCACAAGCAGTTTCAGAGGTTGAACTATTGCACCCCCTTGTGGGCGTTGTGGCTCTATTACATGGGTAGTGTATTGTTCAATTATTACTGTCAATCACTTGTGTTGCCATTATGCAACTAAACTAAACTACTGTGACTGTGAAGTCAGATAAACAGAAAGTGATCTATCCTATAAACATGGTTGAAGTTGTAGTTGTTTTAGTCTATGTTTTAATTATTTTGCATGTATTACTCTCATATTAACTTCTCTATTACTTTAAATGTCTCCAAAAAGTTACAGAACATTCTGGATCACTTATCAGAATCTTCTTTACACCTGATCACCTTTAAAGTGAAACATCAAGCACTTACCTACACAATGCACAAATAACACTGCTGATACTTTCATGACATTTTAAAAGCCTGACTAGGATCAGAGTTGAGCACCATCTGGTGGCATTGCTTCAGACCAACACTTCATTTGCTCATGTTCACTTTATTTGAACACAATTTCCATTTTCAAATTTTCCAGAAATCTGAAAATTGCCAAGAGGCAGCTTTTGCCATTTTTGCAAAGTCATAGGCTACCCCTAAAGACCACTGCATGTATTTTTACCTTTGCATTATAAAATCTGATGTTAAAAAGGAATTTACGTCCATATGGGAAATGTAAAAGTAAATTGTTCACATCAGCAATATTTTTATAGAAAAATGAACCATACCTGTTTTTGATATAGGGACATGAATGCAATAAAAATATGATTTTCAAGAGTCTACATGTTTTCTGGTGAGAACAGATTCAGGCTTTAAAAAACTGCGCAGCTGTGTCATTGCAAACGTACATAGAAGAGGCACGCAGGTGAGGCTCTTGTTCAAACACAGATCTTAGACGACAGATTGGCTCTTTTCATCGTCGTACCGCTGGTACTGATCCCCGAGCAGAGGCTGGTGGCCCTCCATCTTGTAAGATCTGGAACGCACGGCACATGTGGTGGCAGCAAAAATGACTGCAACAATCACAAGGGCAGCGACTATTGCCATGGTGATGATTTCAGTCATAGTGAAAGCTTGACCTAGAAAAGTTGGAAGTAGATGATTAGTACCCTCGTCATCTGCATTCATTCAGCGGCAAGATTGAAAGCAGCCCCACAAAAATGTGATGGTACTAGAGGTAATCCAAAATGCATACCTGGCCATTGAGCTTCATAAGAGTAACCAAGATTTTCAGGCGCAGTAACAAACATCTCAGCGTTGGTCACTGGAGGCCAGAAAGGCACCATGTTGTAGGCCCTGTTGTGACCAATGGGGGCGTTTTCTTCAGGATACACTGCCGAACCTGTCAAGAAATAATTCAAGTTAGCCCACAGGCTCATCCTTCTATCAACAGATTAAAAATGCATGAAGAAAAGAACAAGAACAAATGTATTTTAAACTAGATTTTGTTGATAAAAATACCTGGACTGTGTCTCCTCAACCATTCATCAAAGATGGCATCAGTGTAGGTGTGCAGCAGGACAAAGATGGGGTCATTGGGTGAAAGGTGGGTCTGACCTCCTGTCCCATTTAGGAACAGATGGGCCAGGTTGTGGAGGCTCCTAACAACAGGGTCATAGTTCCCCTGGGGGGCGCTGTAGCCTGCCAAAACAACATGAAAATGCATAAGAAAACGGAGGAACACTGGATGTAAGACAGGCAGAGGAAGAAATACCTTGTTCGCCACTCACCTTCAATTGTGTTTCTAAAGCTTTCAGAGGAGGTGGAGTAGTACGGCGGTGTGTCAAAAGTGTTAACCTGCAGACAGTCCGCCACATCCTGGGGCTCTGGGAGACGCTGGACCATCGGCCTATTGACATTTCCTGCTGGGTTCCTCCTGATGGGAGATGTCTCAGTGTCTGGAAGGAGATAAATAAGAGACAGAGTATAGCAAGCGAATAAAGAGGACCAGTGTAACATCACATAGTAAAAGAGCAATCGTCTTACTGTTGCAGATGGTTCCCAGTGTGTCGTAGTCTCCTACGCTCTCACAGATGACCCTCCACTGGGAGAAGATGGAGTTAGCGCTCAGGGAATTCATATCAAAACTGCTCCTGGCTCCCATCAGGTCATCTGTGCAAATGTCACATGTGCTTCCACCGATGGCAAAGTTCCAGTAGGGCAGGGCGAAGGAGGGGTCTCGCAGCATATCCTAGTTGTTACATATAAATGAAAAGATGGCTGGGTTAGTGTTTGTGAATGTGAAGATCAGGGCAGGGAACCAGAACCAGAGCGCCAAGGCTTTAAGCAGGAATATAAGCTTCCCAGAGTTTGCTGGGGGCTTTATTTGTATTGTGCTGCCAACAGTATATTCCAATCCCCTTGGGTCCAAGTATCCATGAAGTCTCATTTAATACTGGTGTCATAAGGCAGCAGATAAACTGGTTATCTTATTCACACATTGTGATTTGCTGTTTCACACAATAGCTGTTGACCATGCACGAATAAGCCATTGAGGAATCTTTATATGCAACATATATAACAGTATTAAAACAACACAAAATGCATGTGCCACCAGGGCAGAAAACGGATTAGTATAAAGTCATGATTGACATAATGATAACCTAGTGCAAAAGCTTATATACTATATATGTTAGTATAACTGAGATATATACGACATATATAGGTAAAGTTATACATGTCTCAATATAGAATTTATAAGTAAAATTATTCATCAAGCTGAAGGGAAAACTAACTCTTTTCACACCTGTGAATCACTTACCATTCCTACCTTTGAAAAACCATGACTAAATGACCAAATCCCATCCTGAAATCCCACAACTTTTGATCCAAAAAAGCACTAATGGATCCTAACTGCTGCTCTTGAAGCCAGCCATTAACACACATGAAAAGAGTGAGCTGTTCAACTGAAGCCAGATATTTTTCATCACCTGTTTCAGAGCAAAATAATCCACCGCATTATTAAAAAATCCAGGACACTAAAACCAGACAGGATTTAGTTGTAACAGGACAAGAAGCTGAGGCATTTTGACTCATTTTAGTTGATGTAGTTCATCTTGATCTTGACTTGAAAATGAGCCGCTCCCTCCCCTCAAACTCTGCCTGTCAGTGTGCTTATTCAATAGAGCAGAAAAAAAAACAGGCCTACTGCTGTTTTCTCCAAACCGATGGTGTGCTGATCAAATCGAATCTGTGTCCATAAAACGCTTAAAATCCCATTTTGTGCGGTGCTCGGGTATGAAGGCGTGAAACTGCGTCGTCAATTGTAATTTCCTCGCCAATACAGTTGTGGGGAAACGCATTACACAAAACAAACAAGAAGGAAAAAACAACAGATGTGCTGAAGTAGGCCATTAGTCGGTAAATTAAAAGTAAACTAGTCATGTGACGATTACCCCTAGGCAACCACAAACAAATCAATTACAATAATTTCTTCATCATCAAACACCCAATCAACATCACAACTGTTTTTTAACAGAACTGTTGTGTAAATAATGATAGTGCTATTACTCTTTATACAAATCTCACCTGCATGTCTCTCTCCAGCTGCAGCAGGTGGAACCTGTGCCAAGTGACGAACCCGGGCCCCTCATGTGAGAAGTCCACTCCCCCGAAACTGGCCTGTCCGGCACCCAGGAAGGTTTTGCCGACAGAGTAGTAGTGGGACCACACGAAGTAATTGTAGATGGTGATGTTCTCAAACTGCATGGTGTTGCCGTCAGGCCCGAAGACCTCCGTATAGCGCCGAGTGGCGATCACAAGGTCCGGGTGCACGGTGCGCTTGGCTTGGTCCAGCGCGTTCACGAACGCACGCTTCTCGTCCGCGCTGAGCTGCATCACGTTTCTTCTTACTGTGGGATTATAGAAGAGAAAAATAGGATCAACTCAAATCAGTCATCATTTATCTGGAAATCGGTTTCTAATGACCGAGGAAAGAATGTGCGTAACAGGCAGTTTTGATCATTTCATCATCATCATCGTTTCTACATTTCGGGGTTTAACTATTTCAGAGGTAATTCGACTTTTTTCATGGTGCCCTAATTTGAATGAATCTTTCTAAAATCGTCTGTCTTCGTCTGATCGAAACGGAAATCCTGGTAAATGGGCCAAAACCAGCTAATCAGTGTGGTGTCTTTAAGGAGTGCTGAAGTGCTACTGAGCAATGGCAGCGACTCCCCCTGGATCTGCTAGCTGACTTTATACATTTCTATGAGGAGATTTAATAAATAATCGATACTAATATTGATCACTTACCAACAGAAACTCGCTGGTCACAGTTGGGCCCTGTCCATCCGTGTCTGCAGCGGCCGCAGCTATAACCGCTGAAGTTCCCATTACACTGACAAGTACGGTTGAAGAAACGGATGGGCCATCGTTCCCGATCATCCCGCCCGTCGTGGGGGTACTGAGGCCCGTGCGGCCGCGCGTCAACCGAGATGGACACGCACTGTCCGCGGCCCGTGCTCGATCCACACGGATCGTTGTTGAGTCCAGAGGGTGACGGACAGCACTGTCCACTCCGGAGTCCCTCGGGTGTCACACACTCTCTGGGGAACTGAGCGCTCACGGCCACCGCGCCCACAAGCACCAAAAAGCAGCACCGCCACATTATCCAAATCGGTTACCAAATTTTACGCACGGCTGCAGCTGATTCAGAGTCTGTTGTAGCACCTGGATATTTATCTGCTGATATGCACTTAAGTTAACACTTTATCGAAAATGAACGCGCATCACTTTCGGCACTGGAGTAATTACTTTCTCTGTCAACTGAGTGTGTATGAAACTTCCCCTCCCATGCGCCCAGGCCCCTGCTTGTATTTCCCCCAAAAGCAGCGAACCGTCGACCTTAAATACCGGATTAGCGCATGACTACCCGGATTTTCTGACTCCCGCGTGATCCCATCACATAACATCATATTTCCTACTGGGGATGGAGGGAATGAAGGTAGTGTGATCCGGTCATGCACATTATTATTCTTCTAAAGACTCACTGGACTTCTGCAGTTGCCTAAACGAGCCCAATATTAAATGTCAGGAAGTGTAATTGATGACAAAATTTTTCAGATTAAAACGCAAATTGTGATGAATGACTACAATACCCACAAACTTTAATGCTTGTACATGGACTGTAACGATTCAGCACGGGTTTATGAACACTGTATGAAAATTAATTTGTTGTGAAGTCATAGAGGTTTATAAATACAGCCCGTGGCACACAAGTACAACTTTGTGGAATTAAAATAATCAATTCGTGCTGCAAGCACACTCCGAAATACAGTACGGGTCTTGTTTACATTATCTACTATTACACTTGTAAACTCTCACATTTGTCCATTACTGAAGATCCATTTAATGCCATTTAGAATACCATGGTTATTCCAGTATATTAAAGAAATTCCTCCCACTGTATAAAATACCAGCATCTAATCTTGATTAAGCCTCAAAGGTTCATGTGTTTGTTAAAGTGATCATATTTCAGGTCATTTGACTTCTCAGCAAGGCCTCTCTCTCACTCTCCCACCTCCTCCTTTTGCCAAGCTCTAGGCTGCTTTTGAGGCCACGAGCATGTGAGAGATGGATGCATGAAAGGAATTTATTCTGCAAAAAGAGATCTTCTAGGAATTCAGAATTCTTTCTATTGTGTCTGTATTTTTCAAATGAGTAAAAGATTAATCAGATGCATCAGGTGCAGATCTCCATGCATTCCCTCTGCAATATACTTAAATCATTTTTCTTCTTACTGTTTTCATAATACAGTGCACCCCTGCATTTGAACTGTATCATCCGTCTTTATGTATGGCTTGCACTTGAAGGTTTATGGGTCGATCGGATCTGAACTGGACCTTTGATTTACGGTAGTCCTGGGAGGCTTCCCTGTGTGTCTTTACACGTGGAAACGACATTGAATTTAAGTAATATGAATCTGCTGTGCAGTGGACATCAGCTGACATGAGACATCCATGTCTGTTTGATTTTCAGGCTCTTTCAGACTTCAGATGGCATGGATGTTAATGTGAACACTCTTAACAAGTTGGAAACTGGCAATGACGCAACAATCCCCCAACCCCGAACAGCTCCAATATGACATAAAAGCACCATAAGCCTTGTAAATGCACACATCTTTCAAACGCCACTCATCCAATTGGTAACACACACTTTTTTTTTTTTTTAGCCTCCTTGCGGAAGACGATGTCATCAGGGTTATTTCCTCTTTCGGTTTTTCCATGCTGAGCAGTACTGTTGACGACTGGTAAACTGATCTCCATGTGTAAAATGTAGTGGTTGGCCTTAGAAATAACACTTCACCCAGCAGTGTAATGAATTTCGAGTGAAAGTGGAGTCAGCAAGTATAAAAATGTGTTTAATTATTGTTAAAACTTACCTCTCTCCTCTGCTCCCCACTTACCTTTTTTTATGCACCGTCTGTGCAGCATTCATTTGAATTCTCCCTCCGGATTGCCCCTCCAGCGAGTGCCCCGTTTGTTTATTTGCCTCACTGTTGTGCAGGTGAAGGAGTTGGGCTGAAAACAAAAACCTTTGATTAGTTTAAATGAGTTGATGATACCAGTGGCAAAATCTTGATTATTTCGGTCTGCTGCGACTCTAACCTGGAGGCTGTTGTGAGGGTAAGGAAAATGATTGGCTGTTATTGTTGACAAAACTTGCAGCTATAACCCCCGAAGGAGCCAGAATGTAGGGCAGGATCGGTGAGGCAGGTTCTTTTCTAAAACACCCAGAGCCTTACATCCACTGCAGGCTTCACTATGGCTTGGGTTTGCAGAGAGGCCAGCGGATAGTTTGAACAATAGTTTTTAATTAGCAATCGGAAATTATTTCATAAAAACTAGGACATGTATATCAGATATCCTCAAGGGGATCAACGCCCACTAATAAGCAAGCGGATGTTTCACAAATTCACTCATCACATGAAGGCAATGGGGAAGGTCTTTCAGGAAAAGGAAAGAACAAATCGATGTCAGGTTTTCAGCTCTTGTCACTTCAAAGAAAACGTAATTCCAGCAAGAGCGAAGCAGCAGATAACCAGTGTTCCTTAAAACAACAGAACAGCCACTAAGGCAGCATGAATAGCAGTTAAATGGCCCTATTAGACACAGCCATGTTGAAAACAAACAGAGGTGGGAAACAACTTTATTATTCTACTGGAAGGGTAACTATCGCATTTTTACACAGCTGCCTTTGTTTGACAGCTGTAGTTACTACATGCTTTTCCGATTAAGATTTTTAGATTAAAAACAGGATAAGATGAGAAATTGTTAAAGAACCGGTACTCTCAAATCTTTGTGTCTCGTGATTCCTTTCCAAGTTTTTTGTTTTTTTTTCTCCACCAAAGAGTGATTTTCTTTATGGGATGGTTTGATTCAAATAACTATTTGAGGCTTAAAGAGGTTTACTTTTACTTTTCTGCCCCATTAATCATCTCATGACCCTTCATATTCATCCTGTGACCTTTTGGTGTGGGCTCCACCCCAATGAGAACCGTTGAACTAAACTAACATTAGATAAAGTAACTAGCTCCACCAGCTACAACACTTACACTTACTGTTTAAACGTTGTTGCATAATAAATGATAATATGTCAGTTACCCAGTTTGGCTACTTACACTTTTCATAGTTAAGTACATTTTTGCAGGACTTTTACTGGAATATTTTTACATTGTTCTTCTGGTTCTTTTACTTAATAAAAGATTTATACTCTATCAAATCTAATGTGTTGTTTGATGCAATTTGCTCTAGAATTAAGATGTTTAGTTATGGAGCAAAATTGCCAACTGTGAACAATGTTTTTGGAAAACAAAGTGCTTGTAAACTTGAAAACATTCATCATTTAAATTTACTCCTCAGGCATAGAAAAAAAAAAAAAAAACATGATAACAATGCTGTACTTTTATAAAAGGAGCAACTTTATTCAGTGTGATTCAATGCACTAAAAGGCAAGATTCTTAACCCAGTCACATGTGTTTCACATTGATTATCATAATTCCATTCGGGATGTATCGTTTCATAATTGGGGCGTGACGGCGAGGATTACACAAAGCTACGCACTAAGCTCATTCTCATGGAGTACATTTGAAAATACAGCCACATTCCTCATGTATGTGCAGTTCCCATGTTTCCCTTGAGAGCTGGTAGGAGGCCTATTAGCCTGTCAAGGTTGTTATGACCATTTAAATATCATTTGTCTGCAGTCTCCATCTAGTTTTCTAAATTTGAATGAACGAATTATAGTTATTTTGACCTTCCAATCCTTTACTGGCTCTAAATGACTTTTCTATGATTTATCACCATAACAAACTTGTGGGTATTTAATAATTCAAGGTGCTGTTGACCTGAAAAGGCACTGCAGTGTCTCTAAGGTCACATTTCAGGGCAGGAAGAGCCAGCTATTTACATACAATTCACCATAACTGTGTCAAATGAATGTACATGCATATGATATGGATCTAATACAAACATATTATGTTTACATTAGAAACAGTGAGGCAATTAACTGTAATACAAACTAACTCCCTTTGTTGCCGTACGAGAATTTATCAAATAATTTAGTCTGTAAAAGCTAAGTTTGTCAATTATCTTTAAATTCATGCACATTAGATTAGATCGACAAATGTAAAAATATTAACAAAATATCACACTAATCTTATGGCTGAAATAAGATCTTATGTCTTATGGCTGAAAACAAATGCACACAAACTGCAACTATGTACAACAATAAGAAAATCCTGGCGTAAGATTGTTTAGAAACCTACTACCATTATTCTGCCATGGGTGCTACACGTGTACACATCTCCTCTGTAAATCCCGTGACCACCACTCAACCGACCTCCCTTTCATCCGCCCCCCTCCCCGCCACCATTCTGTGCGTGCTCACGTCTGTGCATGTGTGTGAATAAACCTTGGGCAGGATAGAGGATCATGTGAGAAGATGTGACTCGGGCTTAATGGTAATCCTTGCCTTTGGTGAAAATGGCACAGTGGGAGTCATTAAGAGGGAGCTATACGAGCGGTTCACATGACTGTCTGACTATCTCTCTCTCTCCTCTCCCCTCTCCTGTCCTCTAAGACAATGCCGGCAACTTTTTGTCATTCTCTTTCACTTTGACATCACAGGTTGCCTTCATGCCACTCATTTCATCTCAGCCCCTGCTTTCCCTCATGTTCATTTGCTTCTGTGCAAATGAGGGAAAAACAAAAAAAAAAGAAAAAAAAGAAGAGATTTCACAATCTCAAAGAAGGAGTCCCATGTGGACACACTGTTATAGCTTCAGGCATCTATGGTATAACAAGACTAAGATTCTACAGTCATGCCAGAAGCTCTGTGAGGCTGTTGTTAGGTACAGCAGTGCTTCAAGCTAAATGGTAACATCAGAATGCTAACATGCTCACAATGTCAACGCTAACATGGTGAAGCTTAGCATAATGTTTACCATGCTCACCATCTTTGTTTAGCATGTTAGCCGGCTCACGTTTGCAAATTAGCACTTAAGACAAAGTACAGCTGAGGCTCTTTTGCAGATATTTACTAATTAGCTAAAGAATTGGACAAACTGAAATTTTGATGTGAGGATGGCACTAGATGAAAAGTCAGGGCATAACCAAAGTTATTACAATTCATCCTGATAGGGGGCATGATTTTGAGTACCAAATGTCATGCACAGCAAGCCATCCAATAGTTGTTGAAAGATTTTACTCAAAACTGAAAATGTTAACCTCACAGTGAGGATGAACCTCTGGGAACCACGAATGTCTATAAAATTTTATGG